GCAGTTTTGCTAGTCATCTTTATTATATATTTTTGTATTACATATATACAAATTAGTTCATAAATTTTGGCCTAACATCTCACAGGTGCTTTTATAAGTCCCTATGAGCAATCTGTTTGCACTAACTGTCTAACTTTAACAGAAATTAGAGTATGTTAGGGGCTGCATTTGACCACTGCTCTACAATAAAATATTGCCAATCTGATAACATCTTCTCATAGAGAAGTGAACAAAAACAAAAAAAACTTATATAAAAAAACACAAAGGTATAGGAGTAGATAATAAAAAATACAAATGCAAAAAATAAAAGAGAAAAAAAAAAAATATGTATGACTCTTGCTACACAACTATCAGATAGTCACAATTATTTTTTTTTTTAATATTAAAATGAGTAATTGCAACTTAGGAGTTTATTGATAATTAGTCAGCATATAACTATTATGTACAACATCTACAGAGGCAATCATAAAAAGAGTGTACAACTAGCCACTTATACAACTTTAGTCATTATCTATTTTAAGTAGTTTGCTTGAAGGTTTTACACTAGTTGCTATATCTAGAACCTGTTTGTAGGTTTCTTATTTAAACATTCTAGTTCTTGTATCTATCTTTATTCTATAAACTACAAAATTTCTGCAAATATATCATAGTCACTAAGTTATGTTTAATTTTATATTAAGCCCATCAGAGCCTTCTGTATTCTATACTTACAACTGACTCGGTACTACTCTGGTCTAGACCATTATTTGCGATTAAAACTAATCATTAAACTGCTATACTCTTGTAAAGTTTACAAGAACTCTAATATCTTTCTTTCCTAACTTTCACACCCTACTTCTAAATTTACAAGACCCACAAGACTTTACAAACTACCAATTCAAATGGTCTGTCTAATGAACCTAGCAGCCTGATTGGTATATGCTTCTCTATACATATTGTCATCTGATCTATCTAAGGTCCTAGTAATCCTTTTTTGGAGCCTTCTGATGGTTTGGTAGTACCATCAAAAGTCCATGTTACCTCTTTACTTAGGATTTTCAAGTGGGTTTCTGACTCATTAGTTTCTTTGCTTTCTGTGCCTAGTAGTCTTATTTTAGATTTGACTAAAGTCTTATGCAATATCAGTTATTGATATTCCTCTATGTAGGTGTAATGTTACACTTTGCATAAATGCCCCAAGCTTCTATTCGAGATAGTGCAACAAAGATTACAGATACATTAATCCAACTAATCAACAGAGACAGTTACTATAACACAAATCTTATTTTTCAAAATTTGTCATCTATAAAATTTGAACTCTAGACCTGCTACTTGAAGGTTAACAACTTGATGATTACAATTATAAGCCTGTGTCAGGCTTTTAAAAATTATAAACTATACTAAATAAAAATAACTCTGCTATTTTCCTATCTACTAGAATATTAACAAAAACCATGTAGGATAAAACTTCAACTTGAATATAGAAAGTTGGCATGGAATACTGGTTAGTCCAGAGACAGTATTTCACAGGATTTCAGTAGTTTAAGGCACATGTATAAGTTATATTTGTATTGCTGTATTGTTTACACAATCCTAATTAGAAAGTAAATACTGCTAACTGTTTTGGTATTTTATATATTGATCTTTTGAAGAAGGTAAACTGAATTGCCTACTTTTTACAAAATTTTTTTTTAAAAAAAAAAAGATGTGAGATAAACCAAATCATAGTTTTTGTGAGTGCTTAATCTTTCTGGAAATTTCTTGTAAGTTTTACAGTTGTATAGAACTAATATATCCAACACTGTTGTTTACTTTATAAGAGACTTTCAGTTTTTACCAACTACTTCTTTTATAGTTTCAGAGCTCTTTTAAACTATCATCACAAAGTAATAGCTTTTTTTTTTAATTCTATTTCAATGCTTATTATGCATGCCTAGTGCTTTAGAGAAGTTTTCATAAACTTTAATATATTAACTATATCATTTTTCTATAGTTTAGCATTTTGGAAAGTTTGGTCCAGATGATTATCAGAAAGAGATTTTTCATTAGTATTATATTTTTGCTTACTATATAAATCTAAATTTATTATACAAATTATATAACAAATAATTTATATGTACTCTATCCTTAAGCTAAACTTAATATATCAAAAACAGATTATAATTTATTTAAGCTATCTGAATTAGAAGTTTAAAGACAAAGCAAGAATATACAAAATATTAAGAATATAATATAAAGTAGATATAATATAATCTGTCTAAACTGATATGCATAATAATAAGCTTTTATATTAGTTTTAACAGATTATCAGTTTTAAAATACTAATAATCTATTAGCTATATAACTATAAACAAATAAATTAGTTGAATTTATTTCTTATATTATAATTTAATATATAAAAGCTAATTTAAGCTAATCAAATCTGTATATTTTACCTGTCAAATTTGATGTTTTATAAATATTTAATATTTAAGTATCAATTATTAGATTTGATAAATTATTAGTTTTGACTTATAGAACAGTTATGATGGCTTAATTTTTTATCAGTTTTTACAAATTATCAGTTTTAACAAGATCAGTTTGATAAATTATACTGTACTAGAATACAGATATTCTATAAGAGCAAGCTTTTGTTAATGGTCTGTAGAATGAATAAGTAGTTAACAAAAAAAATCTTCTGAATCTTACTAATAGATGTTATACTTTAAAATGTATAATAGTCTAAGTATTAGTTTCAAAAGAAAAAATACTATATTGCTTAAATAGTATATAAATTAAATTATATAAAAGGTTTGTAGTAGTTAAATAATTAATAAACCAGATAATTAGAGAGTTTAAATAAATAATCTTCAAGTAAATTATAGATATGGTATCTAATATAAAACTCAAAAATGAACTATTTAAAATAGGTAACCAAAAGTTGCATATATAACTAGCTATACTAATTCCAATATATATTAGTAAAATAATTACTATGAAGTATAATTTTTTTTAAAAAATATATATTAATTAAAAAATAATTATCAAATTAAAATTTCAATTTATGAATATTTAATATTTAATGAATAATTAAATAACAAAAATTACTGAATAAATAATTAAGTTATTTAATAAATTATCCAAATTATATACTAATATAAGAAGTTTAATATTAATATATAATAAATATAATATTAATATAAAGAGTACAATATTAATACAAGAAATACAATATTAATATAAAAGATACAACATTAATACAAGAAATAAAAATTAATATAATATGTACCATTTATATAACTATATATTGATATATAATTAAACATAATTAAATATAATTAAATATGATTATACATAGTTACATAAATAGTATAAAAAACTAAACAGAGGATGATGATTCTAGTGTAGTGATTGGGTTGTTATTCTCTAATTGGCAGGTCTAAGATTCAAATCTTACTTATGATAAAATTTGAAAATTAACATGTATTACAACAAACTGTTTCTTGATAATTAGTTAAATTTGTATATCTGTAACCTTAAGTTGCATCATCTCAAATAGGAACTTGGGATATCTATGCCAAGTATAACATTACACATACATAGAGGAATATTAATAACTAGTATAGTATAAGACTTCAGTGCAAACCCATGATAAGACCACTAGGCACAATAAACTAAGGAACCAAAGAGTCAAAAACCTACTTAGAAATTCCCAAATAAAGAAATAACATAAACATTTGACAGTATGATCAGATTGATGAAAGCCCATGAAACACCTCCAAAAGAATAAGTAGATAAACCAGATATTAAGATGTGTAGAGGAATACATGACCAACTAAGTCATTAAAATCATTAGAAGAAAAGAATACATAAGTATACCATATTGGGTTATCTGGATTAGAAGTCAGAAAAATCCTGTCAATTCTAAGTAGCAGTTAGTAAAGGATGATAGAGAAGATGTCATGATAATAGGTATGGAAATTCTAGTGAATTTTATAAAGATAGAAATAATGTAATGTAGTAGTTAAACAGGTAATCTCTGTGACTGCAAGTGTTAGATAACTATAATATATTGCATAAAACTAGATCAGCTGTGTATAAAACACAGAAGGTTCTAGTAAGTTTCCTGTCATGTTCCTGTAAGACATGGTGAACTACATATGCAGAAGATTTAAATAGGCAAGACCTGTAGTTGGCTTGCAGGTATGACACCTAGTGTAAAACCTATATAGTAATGTATAGATGGATTACTTAAATTAGGCACCAAAAGTGCACATGTGGCTAGTTGTAACCTCCAATGTAAGGGAGACCCTGGAGGCACCCGTGTCCAAATACATGAATAAAAACATCAACTCCCATAGACAGGAACTTTAATTCAAAAAAAAAATAAAATAAAAAACTAAACACAAACTACAAAGCATGTAATCGTATATGTTTTACATATCTTCACGGTTAATAATGTAATACTTAGTCGAATAACCCTATATTCAAAAAAAAGTTAGAAAAAACTAGTTGTATTGTTGTTTGAATTGCTATTTTTCAAGTTGGAAAAAACTTATTAACCAAGGTTCGATTTACCTTACTGATTACTAAATTACTTTGACCTATAAGACAAAAGCACCCCACCACTAACTTTTGAATTAATTAACTTTTCCTCGAATTCTTGAATTAATTTAATGTTATAGAGTGTAAACGTTTCAGAATATATATGTCACAACTTCAATGTTAACGAGGAACTGTCGATGTTACACGACTGATCCTTCACCTGATGTGCAACATATAAAAAAATTATTTTACAATACGAGATTATTCGACGGTTCCTTCTGTTTAACAATTCGTTCAAAGTCAGCTGTTATATGCAGTGTATATGTAACACTCACTATACATTTCCAATCAGAATTAAAGCCCGCCATGCTGCCCTGAGTTACTAATCAGCATTTTTTACAATTTTTTGATTGGCTTTCTATTTTTAGGTATATTAACGTGTTCTTAGTAGTCTATCAAGCTTTCGACGAAATTATTTCTCTTAACGTGGCACAATTATGGACGTCGTTAAGGCAGTTCAAAATTACATCAATAAAATGGTCAATGAAGTAACAGGCATGAAGGTGCTACTTCTTGACGCGGATACGGTTAGCCTTTTTTTATAATAGGTATTCTTATCTGCTTATAGCTCCGCCTTAAACGTGACAAAGCATTCTCTTTTGTTAGACCCCGATTATTTCAAATGTAATGACCCAATCTAGTCTACTTTCACATGAAACTTACCTGGTTGATCGAATCGACAATCGCAGCCGTGATAGAATGCGACACCTTAAATGCATTTGTTTTCTTCGACCTACGAGTGATTCCATTCAATTATTAGTTGAAGAACTAAGAGATCCTTGTTATGGCGATTATTACTTGTGTAAGCTGAAATTTGATTTTTTATGCCTGTATAACCACATGTTTGTACTAAGATGTTTATGACTTTGAAAATAAAAAAATTTACAAGATTTTAGCAATACAATTAAAAAATCTGCTATAGAAAGACTAGCTGAAGTAGACGAACAAGAAGTTGTTCGTCAAGTACAGGTATATCATAAAGTCACTATTTCATTGAGATATTACAATCATATTTTGACCTTTAAACGCTATACCTATATTTAGGAATACTTTGCAGATTATTGCGCAATTAATCCAGACTTTTATTCTTTAAATCTCTCATTACCACAACATCAACTTTATGGCGATTCGATACATACTTGGGACGGTAAAACACTCCAACGCGTCGTGGAAGGTGTACTTGCTGTTTTACTTTCTTTGAAGAAGAAACCATTAATCCGTTTCGAAAAAATTAGTGAAATGGCTAAAAAACTTGCACAAGAAGTTCTTGTATTTAGATTTTATATCTTATTTTTAAAATTTATATTTATTACTATTGAATTTTAATACGATCCTTCGTTTCTTAGTATCAAATTCAAGAAGAAGGTCCATTATTTGATTTTCGGCGTACGGATACTCCACCTATATTACTTATTCTTGATCGTCGTAATGATCCAGTTACACCTCTTTTAACGCAATGGACATATCAAGCTATGGTTCATGAATTGTTAGGTATTTACAATGGTCGTGTTGATTTATCTGATGTTCCAGAGATTCGTCCAGAATTGAAGGTTTGCATATATTCAATATTTATATATCATATACATTTATATATATATATATATATATTTATTTATTTATTTATTTATACAAATTTCCTTTTTATAAATTATAAGGAAATTGTCCTTTCTAGAGATCAAGATCCATTTTACAAAAAGAATATGTATTTGAATATTGGTGATCTTGGTGCTAATATTAAATCTTATGTGGAAGAATATCAGGCTAAAACCAAATCAAGCATGAACATTGAATCTATTTCTGATATGAAACGATTTGTTGAGGAATATCCTGAATTTAGAAAATTATCCGGAAATGTTAGTAAACATGTAGCTTTAGCTAGTGAATTGAGCCGATTAAATGAAAAAGAAAATTTACTTGAAGTTAGTGAGTTGGAACAGAGTCTTGCATGTTATGAACAACATTCTAGTGATTTAAAGGTATACCTATCACAATTATCTCTTTTTTTTTTATTAACATTATGATCAAAAAAAAATAATCAAATAATTAAATCAATTAAGGCTCTTCAAAAACTCATAGCAAATCCAAAGATATCTGAAGAAAGCAAAATCCGTCTTGTTTTATTATATTCATTAAGATATGAAAAATCTCAGAATAATGTTATTACATTTTTGGTCGATGAATTACATAAACATGGTGTTAGTGAGCATAAAATATCTGTATGTATGTTTGAAAATTCAATTATTATTATTATTGTTTTTTTTTTTTTTTTTTTAGACTATTACAAGTTTGAGCATTAAAAAGTATTTTTTTAGTTGATCGCATCAATGATTCAATATGCTGGCACAGATAAAAGACAAGATGATTTGTTTTCAAACGAGAGCATGTTTTCTAAAGGAAAAAGTGTAATCAAAGGACTGAAGGTACTAATTATTTTTATGATATCTTTATGATGCCTTGTGGATTTTATAACAAGATTCTAAACATTATTTAATCCTGTTAATTAGGGAGTAGAGAATGTATACACACAGCATTCACCTCATTTGGCACAGACTCTCGAATTATTAATAAAAGGAAAATTGAAAGAAACCAGTTATCCATTTATTGGTGGTGCAACAAAGGATAGGTAATATAAATTAATATAGTTTATATTTTTTTTTTTGAAAATATTATAACGTTTTATTATTTTTGATCTTGTGTAGGCCACAAGATATTGTTGTATTTATGATTGGAGGAACCACGTATGAGGAGGCACGTCACGTCGCTCATATAAACGCAACAACACCTGGAGTTAGAATTGTATTAGGTGGAACTACAGTTCATAATAGTGACAGGTTTGTTATAAATCTAAAATTTAATTATTATATTTAATATTCTTTATATATGTTTTTGATATATTTGTTTTATTTGTTTTATATTTGTATAGCTTTTTGAATGAGATTCAAGATGCGTTTTATCGATTTCCAACTGGAAGCCCTGCTGGTGCTAGGCCACCTAAATTTGGAAGAAATCGACGCGGAAATTAGACATAACAATTTATTAGAATTTTGTCGAAAACAAAAAAAAATTTAAATGTGGATATTTAATATTAGTTTAGTGAGATAGATATTTAATATTATATATTATATATGTTAGATATATTATATATTGTGTATATTATTTTATTAATAAAAAAATTTAATATGTAATAATGAAATTATTCTGATTGTATTACATGATATATGGGTACGTATACGTAGTACGTACGTATAATATATGGTATGATAAATTGTGTTAACATATAAATATAATAAGTATTTATATGTACGATCCTTAACGTTAAATAATAAAGTTCAAAAAAGACAATTATACGTATATATTATACGTAATGAATTAATAAATAATCTTATTATTACATACGTATACGTATAACGGTTAAGCTGGTTTTTTGTTTTTTGGCTTAAACTAATAGTTGGATTTACTTTTTTTTGATTTTTTTTATTAATTTATTACAGAATACAAGTATATTTAAAAAAAAAAATTAAGATTTCGGTATTAACTTTTTTCAAAAAAAAAAAAAAAAAAAAAAATAGTAAGGAAAAAAAAATTGTTAAATATTCGACATTTGAAAAAAAAAAAATGAAAGGATATATAGAGAGGTGGTGTGCGCAATTATTATTAAGTTCATTCAAAATTTTAGAAGAACAAGATTCAATATTTTAATGTTTACAGATTTTAAAGTATATATGTATTTTTTTTTGATTTTTTTTTTTTTTTTAATAATGCTATTACAAATGTAAATAACCTTTTTTTTCTTTCTTTCAAGCTAGTTGAAAATTATTTGATCGAACAAATTCTATTGTTCGTAAGTCTTGTGAAGGAATGTAAAAAGTTGAATATTAAAAAATAATATTAAAAAAACGTAATAAGTGAAATCATAATATACATATGTGATGGAAAAGGAAGGGGGAACTAAAGGGGAAGAGGAAATGTACCAAATTTTTTTTTCAGACAAAAAAAAAAATCTATCAATTTGAAATTCTAATAAAAAATATTTATATAATGGCGCCAACCGGCGGGCCAACTCCACCACCAATAGAACACAAAAAACAAACTAAATGTAAATTCATAAAAAAATATACAAATGTTTCCAAATACCTCAACCCCCCAGAAATTGATTTAAATAATTTAAAGAATTAAATAATCCCCCAAGATCGGAAATTAGGGTTTGTATTATGTCCATAACGCTCCATATCGCTTAAGTTTCTTAAAAAAAAAAAACTTTATTGTTTCAACCTCATAAGAAAAAAAGAAAAAAAAAGCATATCAGTTCACATGGAATAAAAAACTATAAAAGCTTGTGGTTCGACGTAAATTTCGACGTATATTGATTGAGAAAATGTATGAAGTGTGTATATATATAATGTGTGTATGTGTTTTGAGTAATAGGAAATTAAATTAAAATAATTTAACAATAAGCAACATCACCAACCCAAGAGGAGGTATCAATATTTATTATACCATTTGAGGAGGTAAAAGCATCATTACTATCCATAGTATCATTAGCATAATCATTAAAGGTCAAGAATTCACTAACATCTGAAGCAGTATCAGAACCACTGCTCATAGTGTTAAATATATTTGCAAATTCATCATTTGACATATTAGGTAAACCATGACCAGTCATTGAAGGAGCAAAACTGACCATAGCAGCAGCTATTTCATTAGAATGTATAGAAGTGTCCATTGATAAATTATTAGGATTATGAGTAGGTAATGATACGAAAGGATCTTGATTCAAGAGAGGAGATGAATCCATAAGGGTAGGAGAATTATCAAATACATCGAGAGGAGTAGTCGGAGAAGAGTTAAGTTCCATAGGAGAAGAACAGAATTCGGGAGAACTATTATTAACTTCGGCTTTATACAAATCCATAAGGGCAGTATTAACATGTAAAGAATTTTGAGGCATTGAATTATTGTTCATAAAAGAGTTCTTATGATCATCCGAAGGAGATAAAGGAAGAGAAATTGAACGACGATTACGAGCCATTTGTTTAAGTAAATTAGTGCTAGATTTATAATCTTCCTTATCCGAAAGGGAAGTATTTTCACTTCCGAAATGAACATTATCGGCAATTGAACCACTTGGATAAGAGGAACGACGAGGAGGATTTTGAAGTTGATCATCAGCATTATCTTTAACAAAAGCATCAGTTGAATCATCAATAAAAGTTACAACTTTAGATAAAAGAGGATCATCTTGCATGAGCTTAATAAGTTGAGGTTTCATGACAATAGCACGACCTTTCATCACATGCCTCATGTGACGAGTAGCTTGTCTATCCTCGGTAAAATCTTTACACATATTCCAACCACCATGAGAAGCTTCCATATAGAAATGAGGCGGATCTTTAACTTCAACAGCAATTTGAGCATAAATATCATCAATAAGACGAAATTCAATTGCTGTAATATCAGTTAGAGGGAATTCCATTTTGAATTGAGTATTATCATTTGTAATATGATAAGTAAAAGTGTTTTGCGGGATCGCATAATAACACAAAAGATCAGTAGGGGCTTGCATAGTTAAGATACGACGCCAAGTTCCTATGGTAAGCGTTTCACATGAAATAACAGAGACCATTGTATTATTGTTATAAGCCGGAGAAACGAATTCTTGAGGAGGTGTGAACTGTTGTTGAGGTTGAGTCGATACGGACGTGGGATCTATATAAAAAAAAATAAAAATAAAAAATAGTTAGAAAATTATAATAACACAAAAATATATATATATATATATATATATATGTATGTATGTATGTATATAGATTATTTATACATTACCATTAATTTTAACTGGCATTCCATTTGAAGGATTAACAACAAGATGTAAAGCTTGAGCAGCATTAATAACATTAGAATTTGGACTAGCATTAGGAGTAGGAAATCTTTGAGCTTGTTGTTGTTGTTGCTGTTGTTGTTGTTGTTGAGCAACAAGGGAATTAGTAGGGAAAGGAAAACCAGAAATTAAATGATTGGGATCATTAGCACCCAAAGAAGTTACAGGAGCAGTTAAAGGACCAGACTGCCAAAATCCTTGAGAAACTTGAGGAACGGTAATACCAAGACCGGAATTTGGTTGAGGTCTCATTCCAGTCAAAGCAATATTATTAATAGTAGGGGTAAGATCACTAGTACTATAAGAACGAGGAAGAGCGATACGTTGAGCATGATGAATAGGCATACGGAAAGGGTATAAACCATGACCATAACCAGGTATACATGGCATGAAATGATGACCAAGGGAATCTTGATTAATCATTAAATGAGCACGTTTTTGCATAGCCTTCATCTTAGCACGACGATTTTGGAACCAAATTTGAATAGAACGTTCAGACATATTGACTTTTTCAGCCAAAGCTTCACGAACTTTACTATTTGGAGAGGTATTTGTCTTAAAAGTATCTTCCAAAATAGCGAGTTGTTCAGGAGTAGCACGAGTTCGCTTTTTGTTATTTGTTGGTGGTGGTGTCTGGGAAGTAGTAGCAGCAGTATTTTGGGTAGATTGGGAAGAAGTAGTAGTACTAGTAGTAGAAGTAGGTTGAGAGGATGACGACGTAGCTGATGGAGATTTGGAAGAGTTGGACTTGCCAATTTTGCTACCGCTCTCAGCAGTCTCCATGCTGCTTGGCTCAGCCTTACAGCCTACGTTGGGGACGTCTATATTTGCACCAGTGCCCTTATTAATAGTAGTATTTATTTTAGCATCATCGAGAATTGTCGAACAGTCCGTAGAATTGGACGCGACATCGATAGAGTTCACAGAACTTGTGGACTCGCCATCCTTATTGGGCAAGATTGAAGAGGCGTCAGTCACGCCAGCGATAGGAAAGCCCGAGTCAGCGGCAGCTTTACTGAAAGCGAAGTACTGTTCATCATCATCGTCAGCGTCGAACATGTTTGATGTTGAACCAAAATAGGTACGTTTACTAGGACGTTCGGCTAGTAGATAATCAGCCATTATGAGATGATGAATAAAATAATACAACTAAAGATGAAAGATGAGATTGATGAGAGTATTGCTTTCTTTTAAGAGACCAGATGAAAGCAGGCTCGACTTTTTTTTTTTTTGATTCTATATCTTTTTTTTTTTTTGGTCTAGGGAATAGAACAGACCGACAAGATAATGGTATCCTATTAGAGAGAATAGGAATAGGTGGGAAAGGTAGAAAAGAAAGAGTAAAAGAAGAAAAAGAAGGAGAAAAAAAAGAAAGAAGAGAAAGGATAGAATTCTGGTTAGTAATAGTTTAGTAATAATAACCTTGGAAATCTTTAAAAAAATTTTAAACTAATTAAACTATTTCAATTTATTCAATTCTTTCAACTTTTTCAAGTTGTTAAGGATAAAATTTTATGAATAGGTAGAATATATAGAATAAATAGATATATAGAATAAATAGAATAGATAGAATATATAGATATAGTTTGATGTACGAATTAAAAATGATCGGTAAGAACCGACAAGTTATACGTAACAAGTTAACCACTAATAATGAATATATGCGGTCTATAGATCTCGAAATTCTACCAATTTTTTTTTTTTTGAAAACTTTATAATTTATAGAAATATATATATATATATATTTTTAACTTACCTTTGCAAGCAAAAGACTTATAATGATAATTTCTTTTAGTTGTGATAGAGCAAGAAAATAGTGATTATATAGACGGTGAAAAAAAACGGGTAATATATGTTTTAAACGAAAAAAAATGAGATAAGAAAGGATTCGAGTAGAGATGAGGAGGTTTTTAATACCGTCTGGATTATAAGAAAAAAAAAAAAAAAAAAAAAGCCAAAGAAAGTAGTATAAAAGTAGACTTGCAAAGTCTTTTTTTTTTTCCTCTTTTTTCCTTTTTTTGAAAAGTCGAGCTAGTTTTAAAAAAAAAAGCTAATAATGTTTTTTTTTATGTTAGTCTAAGAAAGAAAGTTTTTATCTAAAAGAGAGGAAAAGCGAATAAAAGAGGGTGTAAGGGCCAGCTAGGGGCAAAATATGAGACTTGGAGAGAGAATTTCTTCACTCAAGACGTCAACCAAATTGAAACTCTAGCTGAAAGCAGTGGGTTAAAAACTAAAAGATTTGTTTGCTGAACACAAGGCTCAGGGTGAGGGAACACAAGCTACACAGAAATGATGGCACGCTTTGAATAAAAAGGATTAACCAATCTAAATGTTGTAGATCATGAAATTTAGTTTACCCAACATAGAATTCGAACCCGAAACGATAAGAAGTATAAGAACCGAAAATTTAAAACGCCTAAAAACCATGATCGGAAGACAAAGTAATAATAAAAAAGACTATTGTAACTATTGTACAACAAAACGACTAATTATTATTTTACACAAGACAATTGTTTCTCGTAAATACAGTACAAAGATTTTCGTAAGGTAGTTAATAAGTAATAGACTACAATCAAGGAAAGTTTCACGAGGGGTTCACGTTAACCTTCTAAATTAGGAATACTATGGATTTTTTATGGAGAACGGATATATGTCGTGTAGCTTGATGGTGTAAAAGTTTTGAACCAAGGACCATAAATTTTAAAATCATAAATCAATAAAGTAATATAGATGAACACAAGAATTGTACGAAAACATAGACAAGCACGTGATTTATCGGCCGAATTTACACGAATTAGTAACAAGTAATATGGATAATCATAATGATATCGTGTATTTGTGTATTCGTGTATTCGTATTCGCATTTCGTATTCGCATTAAAAATATACATATACAAATAGCATAAAGCATAAAAAGCATAAAAAGCATAAACAGTATATGTAAGTAGTTATAAGCGATGCTTTGAATAACATAAGAGGTTAGTAAGTGACGCGTTTAAATGTTTCATAAATTGGCGTATGTGAATAATGATGAAAGTCGAAAATAGAAATCAAGAAATAATTTCTTATAATGATTTTATAGTAATAGTAGTAGTAATAGTATATAATAGTAATAGAGTAATGGTCTTAATGGTCTTAATGGTTTATAGTGTGTAATTGTAACATTTACACTGATTGATCACAGGCACACGCATATAAACATAAACAAGTGGTTCCAAATGATATATTTTATTATTATTACTACGTATAGATTTTATTATTATATTTTATTTCATTACTTTATTTACTTTTGCTTCATTACTTTATTTGCAACAAATTTAGCAAAAACCGAGAAAAGAAACTTATTTTGTTATCTTAAAATATCCACATAGTAAAAATACCCACATAGTAAAAATATCCACATAATAAAAATATTTACGTAATAAAAATATTTAGTAAAAATCTTTAGCATATTTAGCAGAAATATTTAACTGTTTAATTATTAGATAAGAAATTTCGTACACAATAATTCATCCTATAAAATATTCTATCAATATCCTATACAATGTTCTACGTATACGATATTCTATACAATATTCTTACAATATTCTACGTATACGATATTCTTACAATATTCTACGTATACGATATTCTATACAATATTCTTACAATATTCTTTACAATATTCTGTACAATATCCTATACAATATTCTATAAATATTCTATACAATATTCTATACAATATTCTATACAATATTCTATATAACCTATACAATAAACCCTTTAAGGAATTTATTATATGACGATTCTTTAAGGTTGATTCATTGGTATGAAATTTTACATACGTACATATTAGGAAATTTTCTTAAACAAATCTTAGTACGAAAATTTTACAAAATATGTATAGGGAAATTCTTACACAACGATTCTTGTACGAAAATTCTTTATTTCTTATCCGAAGTTTCATCATCAATAAGGCTTGAGTAACGAAGGCACACAAGTAAATCATTGTATTTATGCAAAGTACAACCTTAATGTATGCAGCATGTAGTCATGTCACGTGATTAATGTTAACCAAACGAATTTCTTCTCGTTCAAATAAATAAAACTGGGAAAATGGAAACCATTGAATGCCCAAAGAAATTATTAATTATGTAATCAAAAATAAACATAACAATAAACAGTCAACTTTTAGGGCATTCAGTTTAGGGCATAAGCGTAGATTGAAACAGTCGGTAAATTCCCTAGTGTACAAAGGTTGAAAATTTGAAATAACCTAAATTAGTGTAAAATGACCGGAGAAATATCCTAAAATCAGGTAAAAAAAAAAAAAAAAAAAAACCAGGTAAAAACATTCAAATTAAAGTATACGTATCAAATATCGATGTTGGATGTTGAACCAATATCCATCATTCATGCATACGATGAATAAGATGAGCGGTAACTTCCGTAACAAACCATATACAGTTTCTGTGCAACGCAATTGGTTCAAACATCAAACCTAAAGGTTGCACCTGAAGATTTTTCTTTGAAGGTCAATGTTTTTCAAGATTGACATCGTCAATCAAACATCATGTTTAGGAAACATCATGTTTAAGAAACACGATGTTTAGGAAACATGATGTTTAGAAAAAAGCATAATACAATAATAATAATAATACAGTGATGATACACTGATGATACACTGATAATACAGTGATGATACAATTGATACAGTGATAGTACAGTAGTAATAATAAATAATAATGCGAGATCTCGAAATTGAAATTTGAATTATTTATTTATTGTATTCAGATTGCTCTCAAATTGCTCTCAAATTGCATTCAGATTGCATCCAGCCCGCAGTATTTACGCAGCACTTAATGCTGTTTATGTATAATTCTGAAAAAAACAGGAGTTCGAATTCAGAATAGATAATGATTGGTACAATTATTCATTATTATGTTATAAAATTATATCGTTACGTCATAATACTTGGCATTTATCATGTAATAACATGTAGTTTTAACTTGTAAATCTGGATTTCCAGAACATGTTTGTAAAACATGTTTGTAATGGTTATAAAATGAAAAATTACATAACTTTTCTCGGAATTGCTAAAATACGAATTAGATCTTTTGTCTCGTACATATGTATGTATGTACGTACGTCTCTTACTATTTTTTAACTAATGTCGTGTTTGTTGTGTATTTGTCATATGTAAAATGTATATCATTTTACATATATCGTTTTATATCATTTTTTACAAAAGAAATCATTTTAGTATATCATTTTAGTATATCATTTAGTGTATAATATGTTTAATATATTAATATATTTGATATATTTCATAATATATCAAATATATTTAATAAGATATTTAATAATAATATATTTAAGATTTAATAATATACTTAATAATATACTTAATAATATACTTAATAATATACTTAATAATATACTTAATGATATATTTGAAATAATAGATTTTAATAATAGATTTAATAATACACATTTAATAACACATCCAACAATACATTCAATGATACAAATTTGGTACATTTAAAAACTAGATTTTATTAATATTTTAACACTTTTTATTAATTATTTTTAAAAACAAAATCAATACAAAAATAATTGCTAAAATAATTGCAAAAATAGTTACAAAAATAGTTCGTAGAATTTTGTAAATCTTAGTAATGTAACGAGTTTATTTTTATCTAATATAAAGTTTATTTATAGTTAAGGATTAATGACAAAGTTACACGTGTGCATTCAGAATTACGTGAAACCAAAAGAAGAAATAAACAATTATTTTTCCGGAAATCGTAAATTAACCATTCCCAATTTAGTCCTCTTAATTCCATGTGCTGTCCTTTTGACTTTTAAGTCAATTCTTATACATATGCAGATGTCCGATAGGTTATTTCGCTTTGTCGTAAAGTTAAACAAACAAATATCTGTGAATGTGAAATCTTAAACCTTTTCTGGGTTTTATATTCTCTTTTATGCATCCTTCAAACAAATGACCATCCGCTCATGTTGTTATTTGTTCTTCCGTGATTCCTCTTTCTTGATATCTTTAAATGGTCTTTTCGTTCCTCATCAATTTTATGAGTCGACATTGTTATCTCATTTGATATATATTTTATTACTTTATATCTACTATGTTTATTATATCTTTTTATTAATTCTTCTTTTTATTATATCTTTTTATTATATATCTTTTTTATATTATATATTTGTATAAATTTTTTATATTATATATTTGTATAAATTATCTTGTACGTATGTACATGCAACACATTTGATGCTTTCTTTTGACTATGTGATCCCTATGATCATTATTTTATTTATAATGTCTTTTTAATTTCTATGATTGACGATTCATTCCTTTTTGAACTTTTACATTAACAATCGTCTTTATTGTTATCGGAATCCCCACAGTGTAAATCATTTTGATGTGCCTTGAGCATTTCCGAGATGCAGGGATCATCTGCTGTTTCGAATATTTTACTTTCTAGGTTTGTGAAGGATCTGATTGATAACCACTCATATTTTAGCTTACTTTAGCTTACGCTTTAGCTTACTTTAGCTAACTTTACCTTATTTTAGCCTTTTAGTATGCTTTTATTGTAAATCTCGGGTTTTGTCGATCTTGATGTTTCATGTTGTGTCTGTTCTTCGTTAATTGGTGCTTATTTAATTACGTCATGACTTTTGAACAAATGTATTTGTCATCTTTTACCTTTTTGTTTGGTAAACACCTATTGCTATTCAACCTGTGTCATTCTTCCTATGTCATTCAAATCCACGTTATTCATATTCTTTCCTATATTACTCATTCTATTCTGTCCTGTGTTATCTTGTGTCGATATATGTTTCTGATCATTTGCAGACTAAATCCCTCCATTCCTACCTATATTATACGTATACTATATGTACTTTACTGTATTATCAATGCACATCTCATCTTCTGCCTTTTTTTGCTTGAAAATCTTCTATAAATATTTTTTTCTTTGTTTTACTTCATGCACTGGATCTACAAATTCCTTATTTAGAACCTATCATTTTCTTTATTTGTATTAATAATTTTTTACGTTTCTTAATTTTTGCTTAACGTTAACCTTTTAATCTTCAAATTTCTTATTATATCCTTTTTTTTAACCTTAATTAATCTCCGCTGAAACAATTCTAATACATTGTTGTCATGAATGTTTACATGAATACCTAGTCATCTAATATTCTTTCTTATTCGATTGGTCAATATGTTGCATGTTTTAATACCTTTCATATCTTTCATATCATCTGTTTTATTTTATTTATAGTTCATAGTTCTTTTTTTTTTTTTATTACGTAGTCTAATTTTGTAAAAATACCCCCTGTCTGAAACCTCCGCTGTAAAAAAAAATCAATCTTGGTAATCTTTCTTTTTTATATCCATACCGTATAAAATTTATTCCATTAGAATAAAAAATTATGCGGTTCAATAAGGTAGATTATGCGATGCGATCAAGGTCAATTATTTGATGAATACGAAATGAATTTAAAATTATGTGAAATAATTAAATACCTTCTCTGAAATTTAAAAAGTTCAAGATTCTAATTGGATTTTTTTTGACAAAGTATGCCTATTATCTGCTAAAAATTCGCTTATAAGCCGAAAAGCCACATTCAAAATTTACTCCTGAAACCAGTAACCAAATATATACTAATGCAATTTCATTCTAAGGATTATTAAAAGCGGTAACTGCACGTTAAAGTGCAGAGTTTATTTTTTTGATTCATGGGTGTTCATCTATTACACATAACCCACTGTTGGTTTGACAAAACCGACAAAAAAGTTTTCCTCTATGCATAAAAGTCATCTTTATACGAGGGATTTCTATAATGTCGTTCTGTGGCTGTAACCATATTGCTTTATATTTCTTATTGAAAAAACATTTATAACCGTTTAATAAAAAAAAACTTTATTAAAATCTTGAATATCCAAGAAAAATTGCTTTATTGATCTTATTGTTCTCATTGTCATATTTAAAAATCGGATACCAATCATGTTTGAGCCACATGATCAGGATGTTTGATGATGAAAAAATGATAGATTATGCGCATATTATGCGATCGCATAATCCTGGATAACTTTTTTGAATTAATTTTCATCTTTACGTATATACTACGTATGCTAATTACATTTATTATCATTATATCAAATATAATGTTTTTTTTGTACATGCGTACGATACATATGTACTACGCATATATTTCAATTTATTAAAAATTGATGGTACCCCAATCAAATTGCTCTATCGGATTTGGTAATTATATAAATCGTTACCTAATCGCGTGGTTCTACGATACGTTGATTGGTAAAATATTGGTACATAAGTTTAGAATCTCGGATTTCTTTAACCGAAAAGTCAGTGTTCGAGACTGTGAATAATGGTTCAAGATTATACATAGTTAAAAGAATTTGTAATCTTAAAGATTTATAAATAGTATACGTATACAGCTATTACAGTTATACGTATAAAGTTGATTTTTCTTTTTTATATTAAACTTATTATATTACTCTTTTTATTAAACAATCTGAATAAAATATTAATTTTTTAGTTGAATTTATAGTTACAAAATAAATAATTATAGTTTATTTATATAAAACTACATAATTTTTTTTTTATTGTTAAGGTAACTTCTTTGGTCTTTTGATTTTTATTAATGATTTTTTTGGTAATGTGATTTTATAAACCACTACAGAAAGAGTATACAATTGGTTACACATGTAACTTTTCTATATTACTTATTTAAAGAGTCTGATTAAAGTTTCCTTACCAATTATTATATTTAACATTCTTGCTTAGATGTTTTATTTTAAACCTTTTGAACTTGCATTTGTGTTAATATTATTGTTTTAAACTTAGAATTCTTTTATCCTTGAAATAAACCTTTCAGAGTCTTTTATACTTATTTTACAGTTGATCTAGTATCATTATAGTAAAATCAATATTTATAATCAGAACTAGTCATTAAATTGTTGTGTTCTTGTAAAGTTTACTCAGACTTTAGTATTTATTTTACAATATATCTAAATTATTTATTTAAAGAGTCTGATTAAAGTTTCCTTACCAATTATTATATTTAACATTCTTGCTTAGATGTTTTATTTTAAACCTTTTGAACTTGCATTTGTGTTAATATTATTGTTTTAAACTTAGAATTCTTTTATCCTTGAAATAAACCTTTCAGAGTCTTTTATACTTATTTTACAGTTGATCTAGTATCATTATAGTAAAATCAATATTTATAATCAGAACTAGTCATTAAATTGTTGTGTTCTTGTAAAGTTTACTCAGACTTTAGTATTTATTTTACAATATATCTAAATTATTTTAGTATATTCTTGCTTGTTTTTCAGACTCTCA